TTATCCCCCCTTCCAAATTTTGTGTAACTAGTCTTTTTCTGAGAATCATTAATGGGGGCTCCCTGAAGCTTCTTGAAATTGAGCAGAATGTCACAGAAACAGGCAGCACAAGATAAAGCTGTATGAAATTGAGCAGAATGTTGCCTCCCCCCCCCCATTTTTTGAAGAGGGAAGAAAAGGCAAGGGGGTTGGGACAGTTCTCCTGGAGTCTTTGAATATTTGCAAATGGATAAGCTTGCTGTAATTGCATTCCACTTGCAAATTCAAGGAGGGTGGGGTCAGGGATTGGTTCCCCAGTGTTGCCTTTGCCATGGAAATGAGCATTACAGGACTGTAAAGGCAATATGCCCTGGGCTATCCATCCCAGGCTAGCCTGATCTCATCAGATCCCAGAAGCTAAGCAGGGTTGGTCCTGGCTAGTGTTTGGATGGGAGACCACCAAGGAAGTCCAGGGTCTCTAGGCAAAAGCAGGCAGTGGCAAACCACCTCTGAACGTTTCTTGCCTTGAAAACACTACAGGGTCGCCATAAGTCAACCATGACTTGAGAGCAGCAACAACAAATAGGAATGTATATTCAGTGGTGTGGAATCAGTTCTGATTCTGCTCCCAGCAGGTAACAGAACAGAAATGCAATAGCGCCACTACAAGATCTTAGTGTGGAAAGGATGCCGGGTAGTGTGGGTGGGGAAATACAAACAGACCTGTGATTCCGTGATAACCTTGCTAGTCTCTAAGGTGTTTCTGGTCTCGAATCTAGCTCATATTTACCTGTGTTTCCATTATGCATTTGGTCATCAGTCTTGACATCCGCCCTTTTTTTCAGATGGCCCATAAGATGGTGCTTAAAAAAAATTAAGTAATCTCCTTAGCTTGTTAACTTGTTAACCTATCTTTCAAAATCCTTTAGATGCTACAAAACTGATAAGGGGAGAGGGGAGGAAGGATACTTCCATGATGACACCAATATGAGCCAGTCAGTGCTGTGCACAACCGGGTTCTTCTGTAGACTAGCAGAACCAGCTTTCCCTGAGCTGAACTGTAGAGGGAAAAAACCCTTAGGCTCAAGTGGTTAAGACGCTGAACTGCAGGCTGTGGAAGGTCAGTAGTTCAGCGGTTCAAGACCCGGGTGCCGCAAGACAGGGTGAGCTCCTGTCTCTAGTTCCAGCTCCTGCCAACCTAGCAGTTCGAAAGCAAGAAATTGCAAGTAGATAAATAGGGACCACTTCGGTGGGAAGGTAACAGCGTTCCGTGCGCCTTGGTGTTTAGTCATGCCGGCCACATGACCACGGAAACGTCTTCGGACAGCGCTGGCTCTTCGGCTTTGAAACGGAGATGAGCACCGCAACCCTAGAGTCGGATTCGACTGGCTTTCGAGCAAGGGAACCTTTACCTTTACCTTTATGCATTTGACAAGACTGCAGGGAGTGTGCTTCCCGGGGTGTAGCAGCTTCTCTTTGTATGCACATAGCCCGACCTGTTTTAATCTTAACCCAAATGGTGTGGTGTGAGCTTGAATTTCTAGCACAGCAGGATAGTGCCGCAGGGGTTTTGTCTTTGAAGTCCACTCTGGCTAGTTTAAGACATAAGCAGGGCCCTGCTGGATCAGACCAGTGGTCCGTCTAGTCCAGCATCCTGTCTCACTCAGCGGCCAACCAGTTCCTCTGGAATCCCAACAACAGGGCATAGAGGCCGAGGCCTTCCCTTGGTGTTGCCTCCTGGCACTGGTTTTACTGCCTCTGAATGCCGAAGTTCCCTTTAGTCACCATGGCTAGTAGCCACTGATAGACCTGTACTCCATGACTAGGGTTTCCAGCTCCAGGTTGGGAAATACCTGGAGGTTGTGGGGCTGGAGCCTGAAGAGAGTGGGAATTGGGGAGGGGAGGGACTTCAAAGGGGTATGATGCCCTAGGGTCCACCCTCCAAACCAGCCATTTTCTCTGGGTTGGATTGATGTCAGTCACTTGGAGATCGGTTGTAATCCTAGGAGATCTCCAGCCGTCACCTGGAGGCTAGCAGGTTGCATCCAATGACCTAGATTTAAATACCAGCTCTGACAGCATCTGCCTTGGTGATGGCACTGTTCAGATCCATAAATTAGGAATGGAAGAATGAATGAATGGACGAATGGATGAATGAATGAATGAATGAACGAACGAATGGATGAATGAATGAACGAATGAATGGACGGACGAACGAACGAGTGGTGGCAATGATGTAGCAAACCTGAGTCCTGCAAATTTCAGGTTGCAACAGCACATTTCCCCAGTCAGCCACGTACAAAGATGAGATAAACTCTGTTGGGTCAGATCAAAGTCTGTTGAGCAAAGCGTCTGGGGAACAGGGTGTGAAGGCAACAGCCCCCTCCTTGCCTCTGGGCCACAAACATTTTTGGCAGAATAAAACGTCTCGTTAGTCCTCAGGGTGCTGCAAGTCTCCTCTGTTTATTTTAGCCCTCCCCTCTTTGTCCCTCGACCTGTCATCTACAGGTAGGTGGCCACTAAACAGACCCACTTTCTGATTAGCCGTCATTTAGGGTTGCCAAGTCCTACCTGTCGCTGCAGCGGGGGACTCCTGGCTTGCTCCTGGAGTGCGCGCACGGCAACCATGTCACCCAGAAGTGACGCGACCACGCTGGGGGCAGGGCCATGACCATCCGAGGGAAAACCATAGAGTTTTCCCTCGGATGACCGTGGCCCCGCCCCCAGCATGCCCGGCGTGGCCGCGTCACTTCCGGGTGACGTGCACATTGTGTACTTTGGGGGTGGGGTTCCCCCTGAGGCCCGATCCGCCATCGGCAGGGAACGGGCCTCTGGGGTGGGGGTTTCCCCGCCCCCCGGGGGGACTTGGGAAGCCTACCGTCATTTCTGATGGTAGACCATTTCTCCATGAACTTGTGTAATCCGGGGGTTGGATGGAGTGAAGGATTTCTGCAGAAGGAACGTGTGCATGTTTGTGATTTCTTTTTTTGCTGAGTCCCTTGTGCTGTGATAGATCTCCGATTCCCTCCCTGAGGGGGTGGGGGGTTCAGCTAGCAGTGAAAGGAGGGAGGCAGGAAGTCACACTTGGCAGATGGAAGTTCCTTCCACCCACAGAAATCCTCCATATGATCCAGCCCCCCTTTTAAAACCATCTAAACTAGGGGCTGTCGTCCCAGTTTCTGTGGCGGCACGTGCGATAAGCAAAGTACGCATCATGAGGAGCTGCTTTCTTTTGTCTGCCCTGAATTAGCTGCCGGTGAACAAATTGAGAGTCCGGTGGGGCCCCTTTAAGACCAACAGAGTTTTATTCGTGAGCTTTTGTGTACAGAGAACACACTTTTTCAAATACATTGGAAGAAAAGTAAGGTTCAAACGTATATGAATTGGACCTTCCCATCTCTCCAATGTATTTGAAAAAGTGTGCCCTACACACGGAAGCTCACACCTTGAATAAAACTCTGTTGGTCTTAAAGGTGCCGCCGGACTCTCAATTTGTTCTGCTGCTTCAGACCAACTCGGCTGACCACCAATGTTCCCTCTAAGCTGTGGAGTCCTGTGAGCAAAAATTCTACTTTGTGAGCTACTGGCATTAAAGCTGTGAGCGAGCGATTTGGCTGCTGCATAGATTAGCTTGCTCTGGAGCCATCCCTTCCTGAGCTAAGACAAAAATATGTGAGCCAGAGGCTAAAAAACTGTGAGCTAGCTCACACTAACTCAGCTTAGAGGGAACAGTGCTGACCACCAGGATCTGGCTGCCAGTGAATTTCATAGGGCAACTACGGCATATATGTTTGAAGTGGTGATTTTTTAAAAATTTCCACACCGTTCGTGATTGTATAGGCCAACCTAAGATCTCTTCTCTTGAGTCCCCTAGCATGTGTCCCCTAGCATGTGTTTAGCTGGGCATGAAGACTCTGCCGGTGCCCCCCCCGTGGGTTGTTGCCTGCCGGATTAGAGCTGTGGGCAGTGCTACCTATGCTGAGAGGCATGCCAGGTCGCCCACTGGCTCCCAAGGTATCCAGTTGTTGAAAAAGAAGACACGGAACCCGGGAAGGGGCCATGGCTCAGGGGCAGAGCGTCTGCTTTTCACGCGGAAGGTCCCTGATTCAATCTGCGGCATCTCCAGTTAAAATAATCGAGGGTCTTGGAAGGTAGGCAGGGTCAGCTCCAATGTTCCCTCTAAGCTATGGAGTCCTGTGAGCAAAAATTCTACTTTGTGAGCTACCGGCATTAAAGTTGTGCGCGAGTGATTTGGCTGCTGCATCAATTAGTCTGCTCTGGAGCCACCCTTCCTGAGCGAAGGCAAAAATGTGTGAGCCGGAGGCTAAAAAACTGTGAGCTAGCTCACACTAACTCAGCTTAGAGGGAACACTGGTCAGCTCTGTCTAGTCCTTGGATGGGGGGGGGTCACCAAGGAAGTCCAGGGTCACGACGCAGAGGCAGGCAATGGCAAACCACCTCTGATTGTCTCTTGCCTTGAAAACCCTACGGGGTCACCGTTAAGTCAGCCGTGACTTGACATCACTTTCCACCAGCAGACGGCACTTTCTACCACCAGTAGGTGATGTAAGAGATCTCGTCACTTTCCACCAGCATCTACCACCAGTAGGTGATGTAAGAGATCTCTGCCTAAGACCCTGAGGAGCAGCTACCAGTCAGAGCAGACAATACTATCCTTGATTGACCAACAGTTTAATTCAATGTAAGGCAGCTTCACGTGTGTTCATGTGTGATAGACCGCTCCCAGGTGTCATCATACTTCCTGCCTCTCTCCTCGTTTGTCTGAATATCCCAGCAATAGCTTAAGGGCTCTCCTTGGTTCCAGATTCCAGCGCTTGAGAAGATTTAGCAGGAATCTCTTTCTGTATGCAAACTGAGCCAGCACCAACCCCTTCCCCTACCTCGGGAGCACTTTATGCACATTTTAAAGCACCGTGCAAATCCAGAGAGTGCAACTACTTGGAACTAAGCATCATACGCATTCAGAATTTTAACATTGTTGTTTTCACCCCTCTTCTTAGGTGCCTTTGTAATCTGTTGGACCCCCGGGCAGGTCGTGCTTCTGCTGGACGGCCTGGGCTGTAAGAGCTGCAACGTGCTGGCCGTGGAGAAATACTTCCTCTTGCTGGCCGAAATCAATTCGGTCATCAACGCCATCGTCTACTCCTACCGGGACAACGAGATGCGCAGCACCTTCCGGAGGATTCTGTGCTTCCCCTGCTACCGGCCCCCAAAGTACTCACCGGCTTCAGTCAAGTCCAGTAACACGGAGCAGAGGATATTACCCCAGAACGGGCATCCGAGTATGGACTCCTCACTCTAATTCTTCGGCTGTAAACTCCTTGATCCTGGTTTGCCGAAGTCATTCCCGATGGGCAATGGGGGGCCCTGTGCGACTCCCCGGTTTGTAGATGCTATCCTCTGAGGATAACAGTGTGAACAAGGCTAGCAACCATGTCCTGTGGGGGACAAATTTGTTCCTGTGGATTGTTCAACGACTGCGGAGGGCGGTCTTGGTCTGGGGCCACCATACCATGATGGCGACCAGCTTCAAGACCCAGGTCCTGTCGTGGCTGTGGATGACTGTGTGTCTGGGACGTAGCAACTGAGCGTGCTCGACAGAACTTAAGGCAATAAGTATGTTGACTCCGCGCTACAGCTGGAGAGGCACCTTAAACACTCTGTAGAGTTAAGAACCAGTTCAAAACTGGCTTGCACCATAGGTTGTTGTTTTCCGCCCCCCAGCACATGTGTTTTCCCCACCCTCCACGAGTGAAAGAGCGACTGCAGTCCAGATCTGCAGGCAGACTATGGGTGGTCACTCGGGACAAGATTTTATTGGCCTTGCTACATTAAACAGAATGGTATGGATAAGCTTTGAGAGGAGTGCTGGGATACAGATTCCCAGGGGTACATGTGTCTGTGTGCATGCGAATGTCTATTTTTAACAGCTGTGTTGATTCAGCACTCATCTAAATGTTTTCTGTGCAGGGTGAAGTATTGTTCTCTCGGCCCTTTCAGTATTACTTCCTCTCTTGCCTTGGCCGTTCTAGGACTAAGAGGCAGCCCTCCTCCTTGTGTATCCGTCCCCTGATAATCTGTTATAACCTCCTCTGGTTCGGCAGCTCAGACGCTAGCAACTCCTCGGGAACATTCCAAGTCAAGGTGGTGGCCGAGCGGACAGCTGCCCGGCTTGGTAAAGTGGACGGTAGACGTTAGGTTGGCAAATGATCCACACGATCTGGGACCAGGTATTGCTGGAGGGCTATACAGGAATTAAACACGAAAGAACCATTCACTCTGTCGCTTTGCTCTAAGTTTTCGGAGGTGTTAGGGATGCACGTTAACCGATCTCCATGAATGGTCCAACTTCCAGCATGTCCTCTTCTGTCAAGGGTTATTAGTCTGTCTCACTTTGCTGTACAATTTTGCATTATTGAAACGGGTGCGGTGTTCACATGTACATCATCAGCTTTGTTGTCAAGTGACTTTTCACTACTGTTCGGAGCGGGCAGTTGTGACTGAGAAAGGCGGAGGAAAGCCATCACAAGGTAAACGTGGCAACTGCATTTCAAGGTGGTCACTCGCTTGAGGAATAGTGAATCTGAGACCCCTGGAAGCTGCCATCCTACTTAGCGTAATTTTGTATTCCAGAAGTGGTTTTGCTGTCTTTTTTTCCCACCCCTATTCAGAAATTATTGAGCTAAAGCTACGTGCAGACATTGCAAACCAATCACCACTGATGTTTGTCTGTGACACTAATGAGCCCCAAAACTTCTGCATTTCTCCTCTTCTCCTTCCCTTGGCTGCTGCACCAAGATTGATGATTTCCCACTTTAGGAATTTTTCAGTCTAATTACAGTTTGCTGTGATCAACATCAGCATTTACATTAACAAACTAGGGCTTGTTTCTGTCCTACGTATTGTGATTTGGAATGACTTGTGCTAGATCCCTGGCTCAGAATTCCAGTTTTTAGGACATGAAACAAACCCTGGCTTGTTAATGTTCTTCCCTTGGCTGCTGCATCAAGATTGATGATTTCCCACTTTAGGAATGTTTCAGTCTAATTGCAGTTTGCTGTGATCAACATCAGCATTCACATTAACAAACTAGGGCTTGTTTCTGTCCTACGTATTGTGATTTGGAATGACTTGTGCTAGATCCCTGGCTCAGAATTCCAGTTTTTAGGACATGAAACAAACCCTGGCTTGTTAACGTACTTGTATTCATACATTGATGGCAGCCTAATAGCTGGGACTAGCAGCCTGAAAAGCTATGCAGGATCAACTATGGTTAGTACTTGGATGGAAGACCACCAAAGGATTGCTGCGCAGAGGGAGGCAAGGGCAAACCAACTTTGCTCGTCTCTTGCCTTGAAAGCCCCTGTAAGGGCATCGCCATGAGTCGGTTGTGATTTGATGGCATGCATTATTATTATTTTTATTTATGCATTTCAGCAGATGGTTAGAGCATACATGCATCTTCCTAAGTCAAGAGAACCAGTTTGGTGTAGTGGTTAGTAGCGTGGACTCTAATCTAGGAAAACCGGGTTTGATTCCCCACTCCTCCACATGCAGCCAGCTGGGTGACTTTGGGTTAGTCACAAGTTCTTTCAGAGCAGTTCTCTCATGAGCAGTCCTCGAAAGAGCTCTCTCAGCCCCACCTACCTCACAGGGTGTCTGTTGTGGGGAGGGGAAGGGAAAGGAGATTCTGAGACTCCTTTGGGTAGTGAAGGGTGGGGTATAGATCCAATCTCCTCCTCCTCCTTCTGTCTTTGCTCTTGCAAAAGGCTTTCAGGTTTGTTCGTATCCCAGGCAAATTTGGGTTGGAAGACAGATTCAGGTGGGTAGCCATGTTGGTCTGATGCAACAGAACAAAGTTTGAGTCCAGTGGCACCTTTAAGGCCAACAAAGCTTTATTTAAGGTGTAGGCTTTTGTGTGCAAGGCACACTTCCTTAGGGATGGAAGAACAAAGGTTATCATGAGTGTCCATTAAGGTTCCTCACTGTGGTCAATGTAAGCTAGGGCAGCGGTCCCCAACCTTTCTGAGCCTGTGGGTACCTTTAGACACAGTGTGGTGGGCGCAGCCAGAAAGCGGCTGCTGCAGCTCACCTTCAGTCACACAGCGAAGATCCTTGTGCTGTGGGTGCAGCTGTGGCCAAAGCGATGTTTTTAAAAAATTTGCCCAGCAATCAAATCTGCAGCGGCCAATCAGAACCTTTGCTAGGCAAAAGTCCCACCTGTCCCTGCCCACTTTCTAAAAACACTTGGCAGACACCACGTTGGGGACCCCTGAGCTAGGGTCTAATAAATACAAAGAAGGGCAGGTCCAGGGAGGGACACCGCTCCGCCTGCCTCCTGTGTACGTTTTTGGTGTTGTCATGTTGGGGGGGGGGAGTGACCAAGCTTTCCCAGCATCCTCTGCCCTTAACGATTTCCTGCTGGACGAACATTTCGGCAGATGAACCTGTCCCTGTCCGTAGACATCTCTTTTTAGGAGAGAGTTGGATTTGCTGATTTTCTGCCAGTAATGTCGGAGTTGAACGGTACAGGAGGTCTATGGCTCAGAAGCTGGCAACCCGAGGGAGCACTGGCTTTCCTCTCTCAAGCGATCAACCTGGTCCCTGATCCTGGTCTTTGCAGGTGCTTCCGTCTAACTCTAGAAAAGAGTCATGCACCTGCTACTGAGAAAGTAGCTGCAATACTATGCTTTTACCTGGAGTATTTTGCCAAGGTGCAGTTTGGCCTTACAAGGTGGTTTCTCCCTCCGGTACAAGATGGTTTCTCCCTCCGGACGCTGCAGCACTGTTTCCACTCCAGTTGCTATAGCTGCTTCTTTGTCTTAAGTCCAAAAGGTGGTGGAATCTTTTGGGATTAGCTCTCAGCAACCCAGTTCATTCGGTGCCTTCTATAAGACCTGCATTATCCCTTCCTTGTGCTAACACTAATTCTTTCTGTACAGTCCTGCTGCCTTTTCCTTTGACTCCTCTCCTGCCCTTCCTCTGCTCTTCCCTTGGTACTGCAATATATTTCCCTGGCTACTGGCCCCAGTTGCCTTCTTTGACCGTAGCATTCATCTCCTCCCAGAAATGGGCACGAGTGATGCCAATGGGTGTGGCCCCCAACGTCCAAATATTGACCTGTGGTTATGCATCATATGGTTTCTGATGCTACCAAAGCACAGGTAAAGGTTCCCTTGCTCGAAAGCCAGTCAAATCCGACTCTAGGGTTGCGGTGCTCATCTCCGTTTCAAAGCCGAAGAGCCAGCGCTGTCCGAAGATGTTTCCGTGGTCATGTGGCCGGCATGACTAAACACCAAGGCGCACGGAACGCTGTTACCTTCCCACCGAAGTGGTACCTATTTATCTACTTGCAATTTCTTGCTTTCGAACTGCTAGGTTGGCAGGAGCTGGAACTAGAGATGGGAGCTCACTCCATCATGCGGCACCCGGGTCTCGAACTGCTGAACTACTGACCTTCCACAGCCTGCAGTTCAGTGTCTTAACCACTTGAGCCACTGCAGCTCCAAAAGCACAGCTAGGCTATCAATATATTTGGTTTTCTGTGGATACTTAAATCCAGAGATTGGAGCCATGAACAGACATGACAGATATTTCTACAAACCTAAAAAGGGCCTTAGGTTTGCAGAAAAATCTGAAATTAAAAAAAAAATGTTGGGGGCTTAAAGCCCTCCATAATGATAGCAGCAATGCCTGTAACTTTAAGAAATGACTGCCCTCAGTGGCCATTGCTAGGCAATTGGCCCATTGTGTTAGTAGACCATAATTTTCCTAGGTTGGCTGCGGGAGGAAAGGAGAGAAAGCTGAAGACATATGAGCAGATATGTGAGCTGGTATGTGAGAAGGAGAGGAGGAAGCAGGAAAAGGGGGAAGGCTATGGGGGCTTCCAGGGTATGGGAAGAAGAAGAGAAGAGGAGATTGGATTGATACCCTGCCCTTCACTACCGAAAGGTGTCTCAGAGCGGCTTGTAAACACCTTTCAGTTACCATCCCCACAACAGACACCCTGTGAGGTAGGTGGGGCTGAGAGAGCTCTGACTGAAACTGCTCTTTTTCAAGAACAGCTGTGCCAGAGCTATGGCTTGCCCAAGGTCATCCAGCAGGTGCAAATGGAGGAGTGGGGAATCAAACCCGGTTCTCCCAGATTAGAGTCTGCGCACTTAACCACTACATTAAACTGGCTCTAGTGGATGGACGTAAATTGCCCCTGAAAGTCCTTGCAGATTCCCTACTTGTTATTACTTATTGCATGTGTGTATATCCTAATACACACAAAATGGGTGGCAAAAAAGCAATCTCCACCCTGAGCAGTATTAAAATGTAGAGCCCCTTGGTTCATTGAAAAGGAGTTTCTACCGTCTGGGCTAAAAGATCTAACCGTATAGCCACGGGCAAAAGTTTAAGAAGAAAATACATGCATACAACTTTCTATTTGTCAAGGAGGGTGACCTCTCCTGCCCTTGGCTTTGTTATCGTGACTTTAATAGCAGCCTGATTCACAGAAATTCAGCAGGTGATGAAGTCATACCCACCTGCATGCCAAAGCAAGCTGAACCCACTTAATTTGCATCTGATAAGGCACAGAAGCAGAGGAACTGAGAGGTTCCACGCTCCTCTTTGAACAGTCCTCTACCCGAAAGCCCCTTGAGCTTATATCTGTGTCATTCATTTTGCAAATGGAGCAGCATACCTGAAGGGAAGAGGGGAGGCTGCAATTCCTATCCTTCTGGACTATGGGCAGCCCCGTCTGTGAATTCAGCCTTCCAGATTTACCCACAGTGCTGGATCTGTGCAGTTGCAAATCCAGATGTGCAGTTTGGCCTTAAAATGCAGCCATGGGGGGGGCCCCAACAGGGATTGAGGCCAGGACACTGGTAAATGTAGGGTTTTAACCAGGGCCAGTTCCAGATTTGGGGGGGGAGGGGCTGGGCAGAGAATTCCTGGGGGCTCCCACACGTCCACCCATGTGTCTGGCTACCTGCTTGTGCATCCTTCCTCCGCCTTGTCAGTGAGCCCTCCTCCCGCCATACAGCCTTCCGCACTGCCCCGCGGCCCTTTCCTTGATGACGCTGGGCAGTGCGTGCCGCTGGATGCACAGGTGGCAGGGCAAGGAAATGGGGGTCAGCAGCAGTGGGTCCTGTCAGAAGACCTGGGACCTGGCCACTGCCCCACCTGAGGGCATGTTGATGCCGGCCCTGATTTTAACTATGCCTGAAAACGCTCCTCGTTCCTTTAAGGCCTGTTAGGGGAAAAGACAGGTACCTGT